GGGCTTGAAGGCGCATTTCTATCTCCTTTTCATCGTAATATTTTCTTTTACACAACGTGTACTCGGCAATAGTTGGTATGTGTGTGTGTGTGTGTGTGAGGCTTCCAGAAGACGTTACAGACCTCCTCTCATACATGTAATATAACGAAAACGAACGACGGCGATACTCTGGTCGTAACATAATTTCGGCCGAACGTTAAACGCACAATAATATAATATTAATAAAGAATACGAAAATAAAAGGCGGCAAACAACAACAACTGCAGCGCACATCAACGACGCCGCCGCCGTTCAACTAGATTTACAAAAAAAAAAACCTTTTATTTTTTAGAATCAAAGTGAAATATTCGATATTTTTGAACGGCCGAGTGATTTGCATTCGCATTAATCGCGTTAATGGTTCTAATTTTCTTTCAACTTTCAACCTCCACGCGCAACCAATTCACGTAGTAAATATGCGAATTAAACGATTACCTAAATTATTGATATTATATAAATTACCTTAAACTCACAATAATCCTCGAACATCCTTAAATAAATATCCTTAAAATAAGGACCAAACGGTAGTGTACACATCACAAACACACATATTGCATAAACGATGATCTTCGGGTGAATTATCTCAAAACTTGAGGTTATTGTTGTTCGCCCATTGTCATCATTGTGTAGGAAAAAACAAAAAGCCAGTAGCCTCTTCAAACAATATATGTCCACAATTTGCACGTCATATAATCACATACTGCAGGATACCTATATATAATATGCACTACGGTCAAAAAGGGCGTTTGATTTCGGTTTTTGATCAACGGCCATTCTGACTGTGAAATAAAAACAAATATGCGTATTTAAATTATATGTTTATAATATTGTCATATAAAAAAATACATTACAAAATCATTGTATATCGTCGTCAGTTATAATAATAAAATGATGTTATAGTATACAATATTAGAGTGATTTTTCTCACTGGTTTTACAATTAAGAGATGTGCGTGATTTTTGACAACATGCAGGGCCAAAAAAGTGACGACATAATAATTTTCGTTTCACATTTGAAAATGACGAATACATTTTAAATAATAGTAAATAATAATGTTATGAAAAGTTAATTTGCACGAAATAAAAACATAGGCGCACAATAATTATTAAAACTGTGTCGTAACCGATAAACGTACCGTTTTCGGAACGCAACTCAATTATATGATAAAAAATGAAAAACAATGAGTAAAACAAAACATATCAATATAAAAAAAAAAAATTATAGTTAAAGGAACCAAATAATTTCTTAAACAAAATTTAATAACACCGACCGTCGCGTATGGTGATGTAACTCACAACATTATGTATTATTTTTTCTACTTAAAAGTTTTCAAATAGATAGAATTGAGTTTCCAAGATCTTTGAACCCCTTGTAATATTATGTGTACATATATATTTTTGTTTTAATGMTGTTGTGATTTACAATTCACTGGTGTATACGGACAACGGAGCGGTATGAACATAATAATATAAATATCAATAATAATTAATTAATCAAATATAATAAAATATGATTCCGAACGACAACAAATTGTGTAAAATATTATATTACTTATTGTTGTTTTTTCTTCATTTTAATTATCACTTCCTTAAAACTAGCACAAAATCATTTTAAAAATGTATTATAGGTATATCATATAATATGAGGTAATAATACAAAATAATAGTCACAACGAGAACATGTCGTGTACAAAATTGAATAATGTTTAAATGTAACTAAATATGAAATTAAATGAATACAATAATAATAATAATAATGAAAAAAATGGTCACCAGAATGTTGTGCCATGAAAATACAATACGGAAATAAAAAAAAATATAGAAATTGACTGGCGGCGGACTGTTAATTGTTTTTCCTTTCTTATTCGAAAATTACTGCTATACAATGATTATGAAAAACGCGAATATTAGTTACCCTTAAAATAATAATAATAATTGTAAAAATAATAATAATATCAGTGCCGTTTATTATTTAGCGGCGTCGGKAAAATAATTAATAATGCATGACGTGCTCTGTACAGTCAGAACAGGTGTAAATATAAAAAAAAAATTGTAAAAAATGAGTGAAACTATTAAATGTCTATAGAGTTTATTTATATTGACATCGTAAGTGTGCGGTATGTATTTTTTTCTTCTCAACTATGATAATATGAACTGTTTCGAGACAAAATCGCGCACCGGTAAAAAGTGTTGTTTTTTTTTTGTTTTTTATTTTATCGTGACTATTGTACCAATCCGCTACCATGTGAATAAAACGCTGCGAAAGGTTATATGACATAATAATCATCGGTAAAACGGCCAATAATACGTTAATAATGCAATAATTGAAATTACAATAACAATTATGGTTTTAAAAAATATATACACAGAAGTAGGTAATAACAGATAAACTGTACCTAGATTCCGTGTATGGATGTATGATGTAGTGTAGTAGTGGTGTGACACAGCTTTTTTTTTTTTTTTTGAACATAATATTTTGTGTGGGGTGAATATAGTATATTATTATTATTATTAACAATAATAAAGCTGCTTTCGCCAATCGTCGAGTCGTATCGTGTTCATTATATTATATTCTACTATTATTGTGTTGGATATAATATAATGTGCGGAATTCGACGCGACTCGACTAGTGGCGAATGAGCCTAAACGATAATGGTAATCGAAAAAAAAAATTCATAACATCAAAATAATATATATATACATACATATATATATATTGCTCGATTCGGCACTCTTTTGCAGAATCGATTGGTTAACGAGGGACGGACTAGAGATGCGCGCATATCCGCTACGATGTTAGTGGGTTAGCACATATTATATTAAAATAATATATTATCCGTGTGTGTGGTTCGACGCTCGCCTTATGTGCGCTAACTGCTGCGGGTTACAATCGTATAATGAACTATATTTTATGATATATATATATATATATATATATATATTATATATATGTATATATGACTCGAAGTTATAATAATAATAATATCGTACAAAATAAAAGTAATAAAAATATGGTCTGTTGACTATACAATAATATAACGATATACACGACTGCTCGCTCGGTTCTTATCGCGAGGACCGATAACTAATAAATCACGACGACATAATATTATTATTCAGTGCAAACACATTGCCGCAGCACGTCAAAAGGCGACCACCATGTGTGATTTGGTGCCGCTGTTACTCTCGTTCCTTTGCAGTAGGTCATGCGGCGGGGCACACGCGATTTTCGATTTTTTGTTTCTTTTTCCTTCCCTCGTGATATACGTGTATACATAATATATTATAATATCATACGCCACACAAAATTTTATATATATATACATAATATATATGATATATAGGATTATATTATTAATTACACTGCACGAAATGCCGATTCGGTGGTCGTATATATTTGGGTGTGATGGCGACCATATGCTCGCGCGAGTCCGACACGTCCCGAGAGACTTGCACACTCCGGCGTCCCGGGGCGAACGGACATTTCTTTTTCTTCATTTTTTTTTTTTTTAAGTTTTGTTTCTGCGGAACTCGCGCAAAAGGACTTCGACCCGGCACAGACCACCCTGATCGGCAGGTCGTAATTCATAACGATATATGTGTATAAATAAGGATAATTATATATATATATATTGATATGTATACACGACCTTCATCATGTGCTGCGACTTGTGATATAGTAATCGATGGTTTTGTCGAGTTTTCGTTCATATTCGCGGACGAACGATTATTATATTATTCGGTCCTCGGACGGTGATGAAAATCCGACAAAATCCCGATAACCGGGTAGGTAGCGAGCGATGTTGTTTGTAGGACCGGCGTTGGCTCGTGTACTTAAATATATAATACTATACATGATATATAATAAAAAAAAWTTTTTTTTAATGTAGTCTTGGATGAGTTGCTATGGCGGTGGCTGCCGTCTGCGCGTGCGCGGACGTCGAACCACCGAAGAATGAGGCGTGTTGAAAGTTCGTGCTTATTTCAATGTCCAAGCCTGCCGTGGTAGAGACTAGTGTGGCAGTGGACTTGGGCACCGAAAAGAGAACGATTACCTTTCGACGCTTCGTTCTCGCGGCGCGCCAATTAGTTGAGCATGCCGCTACTTCCGGCCACGACAGCGTCTATGGCCGAGGATGTAGAGGCGGTGGATGCGGCGGCGGTGGCGGAAGCAATAGCGGCGGCGGTGGACGGGGCCTGGAGCGTGGCGATGGTGAGAGCGGTCTGGTTGTCGGCCACCGCGGCCGTGGTGCTGGTGATGTGGTATTGCTGAGCGGCCGGGGATCCGGGGTGCATGCTCTCGCGGTGCCTGCGCAAGTCCACCTTCCGCTGGAACGCCCTGTCGCACAGGCCGCATGGAAATGGCCTGTAGCCAGAGTGTTTGCGCAGGTGCGTGATCAGGTTGGACGACTGGCTGAACGCCTTCAGACACACAACGCACTTGTGCGGTTTCTCGCCTGGAAAACGAAGAGGAAAAAATATATAATATAATACCGCAAGAACATGTCTCGTCRMGCGCGATACCCGGTTATAGGTATACATATTATGTACAATATTTAATATTATTATATATTTGATCGTCTTTTATATTATGCATATTGCATCGTCGTTGCACCCTTAAAACGACCGTATACACAATATACATCACGTTAACACTGCACCAGTGTCATGAGGGGCTTTATAATATTATATATTTTACGAAAATACGCGGCGGTGTACAATGGTTAATATACATCATCATATAGTAATATATCTCATGCTGTACAAGACGGGTTAGCCAAGAACAATTATTATTAAGTAGCTCGAAATAATTTCCTAAACTACACGATTACATCACTCCCCACGCTCTTTATATATTCTGACATGACAGTATAAGATACGTATAAGTATGTTAGTTCACGATACTCGATATACATAATCGATGAGTATAATCATTATTTACAATAATGTGTTCAGTACATTATCAGAAATACGTTTGACAACTATTTATACACAATTTTGCAGTACCWTTATCTGATCAAAGGTAATTAGGTCATCTATCGTAGGTATATGATGAGTCATATAATATGACACGATGCACTAGCTTGTTTGTGTCTTGATTCGTTATTTCGTGTTTTTGCCTAAACGGCTAAACGATTTCAATAAAAATGTGAAAATTGACAACTGAAGGCACCTCCTCCCACAAGAATAAAATTCTAATCACGTCACTATACTAAACCGGAAGTACGCTCATTATTATCAAACCCGCGACGCACGTGAATTATTGTCAAAAGTTACATAATCAAAACTTACGAATTTTGTACGGAAAATAATCACACCATATAATGTGTGTACGAAGACATTCGACGCGACCCCTTCCCGTCTAGCTCAGTCACGACCACCCCCCGACGGTGACCGGACGGTAAGCGTGAACTTTACACCAATCCCTGCACATGACGTCAGTGTTTCGCGCACGGGGGTGGTGTGCAAACGGCGTTCGGGTAGACGGGGGTGAGTCGRTTAGATTAGGTTAGCCATATTTGCCATCGTTCTATGAATTACACACAATGCATAAAATAGTCTTACAWCGCCAACGATAAAGATAAACATATTATAAAGCTTCGAGAACTGAACTTTTTACGACCCAGTCGAAAAACCCCGTATATTACACCTAAATCCCACTTGCTGATTTATAATATGACTCGTTAAAAATCGTCAMCACAGCACCCTGGGCCCTGCAGTACACCTATAATACTATAAAAAGGTATACGTCGAAGTCTATGTATGTATAATATACTGTATATAATATAATATAATATAATAATAATATAATAATATAAATTTTTTTTATTTTTTATTTAAAAAACACTATTGTTTACCTAAAGCTTGAATTTCTAGCATTTTCCGCTATAAATCGAGAGCACATGTAGACTAAGAATACGAATTCGTTACTCCTACAAAATCCGAGCCCTCTAGTGATTATTATTATTGTTATTGCTATTATTGCTATTAGTTAGGTATTACAATAATTCTGTTGTAGGTATAATATTATATTAATTTATAACAATATTCTATTTTTTATGAGGGAAATCGATCCATTGTTGTAAAATGCTTGGTCGACTATCGCGTGTCTATTGAAGAAATTATGGTTCACTTATGTAATACCGCGTTTATAATAAAGTCAATAGACGTATATAGATATAAATACAAGAACAAACTGTTGCAGTAACAATCATATATTTGTATCGACAACAAATAATTAGAAAATAAGATTTGCTTTTATGGGATCTAACAGGCAACGGCTAATAAATGTAAGTTTTAGTGCAAGTGTGAAAATGTGTGTTTTTTATTACCTATTATCGTGGCGATTTTTTAACGGTAATAAATTAATAACACATGTTCTTTTGTTTCAACGATTAGAACGCTATTTAACGTTTGCTAAATACATTTTTCTTATTAAAATGCACTAGCTTGTACATTCTTATATTATTATTATTATATACACAATATAATGGGGAAGAATTGCTAGACGAGTTGTTATCCTAGGTGGATTAAAATTCGCGGTAACAATACGATCGACTTGTAAAAATTCACTGAGAGACACATAGGAACATTATTAAATAAACACASAATAGCACCTTTCTCTTTGCAGATGATGCGCGTATACGCATCATGTATAGTATCTCAGTTTTCTCAAATGTTAATAATTGTATAAACTATTTATATTATCTGACAACCCCGAGGGCAGCCAACTTATAATAGTAATATAATAAGTTCCGTTTCGCCAGCACTATCAATTTCCGTGTATTCAACTTATAATATATAATTTATGTTTCAAGGTATTTAATATTGATTGAAATATACGACTCATAAAATATATATTATAAGGTATATAAAATGGAATATATATATAATATATATAATATACCTACTCTGTTCAGAAATCAAAACTTCAATATTTTGTGTGACCACGAACACTGACACATATCATAACATACGTATAATCATTGATTAAAAATTTTAGTAGATATTTTATAATCAATGGTGATGCGTAGCCAGCACTGGAACAAGACAACTGTGACTAAGTTGCATAAGTKCAGAATAAATTATTTTAAAGTAAATGTCCGCCGTTTTACTTCGCAAATCCTACAACGATATCACATTATTATAGACTAACGTGTTGTGAAAAACTCAAATAGTCGGCCATGTCACGTTCGTATAAAAACTTTGTCGACCGTGACCTACCCTCTTTGATTTAAAATCAAGCGAAGTTCTTAATATATAAACGCTCATATTATATAATATGCAGTATATAATATATAAACGCTCATATTATATAATATGCAGTATGTTTAAATGTGTTACGTACAACATATCGCAACACTAGAATTCAAAGAGAAAAAAAATTCCAATCGCGACAAATTTAATTTAATTTAGTTGAAATATTATGTAAATTTTAAATAAGTTTAAATTAATAAATACATGATACACCCTAAATGCATTGCAGTCAACATGAGTAGGTATACCGTATTCGTATACACATAACATGTATTGCATACACGAGCTGGCATTTTACATTATTCGTGTAAAAAACAGTGTATTATAGATCCTTAATATTATTACTACGATTTATGACAATGCTGCACGGGTGCGATTCCTGTCTATACAAACGTTATTGTATACATACCACCTTCCTATTATATGTACTTGCAATAACCATAATATTAGTGCCCAAGTGTTACATAACACACGCCCACGCACACACACACATTCACACTTTGCGGTGTATACACGGCCGACATTAAAAATATTTCAGAGGGTTATCGAGAAATCATTATATTATTCAGATCGGACAAACAACGCAAACACGCCTATAAACGTTATCATCATAAATATATTTATATATTATATATATATATAGATGTGTGTCGTGTGTGTGTGTGTGAACAAGTGTTTACATACAAGTTTATATAGTATGTATATATATATTTGTGTCTGTGTGTGTGTGTAAGTGCTGCGTAGAGAGTTGTAGGGTAAACGTCGTTATTAAAGGACGGACTACGTTTGATTTACGGGTGAAATGTCTTATTATTACGGTTTATTTACGAAAATATAATATTTTATTATAAATTCGTCGCCGACAATTACTAGAAAAATAACCGACAACGGGCGCGAGCGTGTGTGTTGAATCGCAAGGAGCCCATTAACTATCGTGTAGTCGTGTGTACACACGTCGCGGGTTTACCTATGTGTATATTATATATTTAAATATATTATAAAGCAATAACGCTCGACCTTCTTATAACCGTCCGCACAGGTTTTTTAACGAACGTAAAAATCATAAATAAATTATGCAAAGATATGGCTCGTATAATGTATATAGATAATCGGAATGGCGTGATGCACGCCGCGCGTTCTTCCGCCGGTGGAATTAATAATGAAATATTAATATTTTGTTATCGACCTGTGTAACTGCGCTTTCCGGGGAAAACAATTATACGACGGCGAGTAAATAAGGGAGTGCGCATGGAACTTACAGATTTTCCACCTCATCCGACGGTAAAACAGTACAATTAGTAATTACTAAAATATATAGATAATGAATAATTCCATTTAAAATGATGTAACAATAACATTGCAGTACCTATAATACCTATTTTAACTCATTGGCTGTGACCATATAGATTATAGGCGTCATTTTAATCTTAAAAAAACATATTTTTTGATATTTTAAAATTATTATGTTATAACATTAAAACGATTTTATGTTTATTATTATTTATAAACATATTTCGGGGGCTATAGGATAAAGCCCCCATAGTATCCGAATTGCTAAAGACCTAAATCTGAATGTGTATGCCCTATAGGATATTATTATATATGATGTAAACTATAGAGGCACGGAGAAAACATTTAAAATAAACATCCTTTTCATCATTTCTCTGGCCCAGTATGACAGTTTATTATATAATAACTGACAGTTATGAGTATGACAAATTTATTGCGGAGGCTTACACGGGTCTCGCTAATCGCTATTAACTTACCTATCGCGCAAATACAAATATACAAAAATACAACGCAAAAGCTCTTTACCGTAGCGAATCAATAAACCGTACACATAAATCATATGATATTATTATCGTACGTATATATAATGATTGCATAGTATACATACCTGCCCAAACACACAACCGAACACATACGACAGACCGGATAAGAAACGGATTAGGATAAGTCATCAATTTCGATTTACCGTTTCATATCCGTATAAAATAAATACAAATACACAATAATGTATGGCATAAGCCGCATTGCGGGAACGAAGCGAGACGGCGTGGTAAAATAGTGAAAAAAAATACAATATAAAAACCCTTACGAAAATTTATGTGTTCCGGTCGACCGTTTAAATAAATATTGACACGTCCGAGGAATTATTGTTACGGTTTGCTCCGGTGGTAGTGGTAGTGTAGTGGTGGCGTCGGCGTCGGTGGCACATCACACACGCGCGTATAGAGTCAATAATAATAATAATATTATTATTATTATTATGCAAGACGAGGGCAACCGTCGATGTATTATTTATGGGGCRTAGTATTTAGACGTATTTATGTGTGTACGATAGATATAAATATTAAACAATATTATTGTACAGAATGRGAGGAGGTAGCAGGTATATTTAATAATTTAATATATTATTTCTTGMATTTCCTTCGCACCCCCTCGCGCCAGTGCATCCCCTCGCACCACTGCATCCCCCGTACCGCGACACCGCCACTCGGAACCAGTGGCACCGCCACACGCGCACCGCGTGTGTGTATGTCTATAGAATCTCCGAACCGTTAAGTCGGACGTATCCGTTTAGCTAACCACATTTTTATGTTAACMTCTTTTTTTTCCACACTGCTGTCGCGCACACGCCGCCGTGAACCCTCWCGAGGGTAACCGCGTGGACGTGCCTCGTGCCACTGTCCAAACACAATGCGGGCCTTAAGTATTATTATAATAATATAAAGTAATAATAATAATATATTGTTATGAGTATAATAGCCACACTAGCTGCTGAGGTGCATGTTATTATACTGCACCTAAGTGTACGATGTGTAAGAATAATATTGCGGTGACGCGATTTTTCGCTAATGGAAAAGTCAATCTACGCACGACTCCCCTTATACTGTGTCCCGGTGCTGTTTACCGACACACACCATATATAAATATAAAAGATAGACACTATAATATATACACCTGGTAATCCAATCAACGTAAGACACATTATTTCCAAAACTATTAACGTTTATGAAAATGTTTTTTTTGAACATTTTGATTTATGTTATAAAACTTTATTTTTTATTTTTTATGGTTATAATTTTTCTATATTTTTTACATTGTTGTACATTATTTATAACTTATAAATTATAAGTATTTAACGTTTTGATTCCACTGGAGAGTGGAGTGGTATAGAATGTTGTTCCAAATAAATGTTATGTTTCAAAAGTGTAAAGTAATAAAAAAAATATTGACTATCTTACGTTAAATGGATCACTATCCGTTTATTYGTCCCCGCATATGTTTCTTAAACGATGCAGCTGTAATTTTTGTACACGGCGCTAAATGCATGAAAACGAGCGTATATATAGATGAACGTTTATTAATGGACAGTTAAAAACACACTAATAAATGCTGTTGCCGATGACATGGTTTATTTTTTACGAAACAACAATGTTTCTTACACTACACTGTATCATGAATACTGTAGTTATTTTTATTATTTAAAATATTTTGAAACATCGTGAAACGGTTCATGCAAGTATGCGACTTTAAATTGAATAAAAATGATAACCTCAAGTCATAGGAGCCTGTAAACCGTGAGTAAAATTAAATTTTGATTTACGACTATATATACACTGTAGGTACATTGGTGTTTCTCAAAGAGTGCCGTGAAATTTTAAAGCTGTGCAGCGATAACTTTTTATTTAAAAAAAACGTTATATTTATTTTTAGATAATATTTATTCAAAGTGTGCCGTKACTAATTATAACTAATAATAATGTGTCGCGATGGATAAAAGTTTGGGATCCACTGCTATATACATAATAAATATTATAGAAATACTTACCAGTATGAATATAAGTGTGCTTCTTCATATCCGACTTCTGGTGGAATCGCTTACCACAAAACTGACATGGATATGGTCTCGTATCGGAGTGAATTAGCAGATGAGTCGATAGCGTTGAAGAACGCTTGAAAGTCTTGTAGCACAACTGACACTGAAAAAACAAACAATGTTTATATATATATATATTATGTACAGTCGTATATGGACCACCGCAGTGCAGTTTCCGGAAACATAAAAGTATAAAAAAATTAATATTTCTTTAAAGGTACATAAATGTAGTCATAAGTACCTATATACCTATTAAAAATTGCAAGTATAGCTWTGAAGTGATAGGAAAAACCAAATGCTGCGTGAGACTATATAGTGGTGCGTGAGTATGTACAAGCGTAGTGGCACAGGTATGCATAAATAATACTATAATATAAAATATTCCATAAACAATGGCACAAGGTAAAAGTTTAAAATATCATTGATATGGTTTTGATCGTTCATGATCGTTCATTAAAAAATTGAGAGAAAAAAATCTTTAGAACTTAACAAATTAATATATTGTTTTAATATCAGCTCATAGCTCATACTTTATACGGTAMATTCTGCATGTGAGTTGACCAATTGTAAATAAAGTAATACGTCTATATAGATAAATAAAAACATGGTTGAAGACAGGCATCATTTTGAAAATACGCCTCATTTTTAGAGCATAATATAAGGGATGACTAAAATGGACAATACTTCAAATATATGGCAACATGTCGATTGTTTAATCCTGCGATTTTGTGAAAATGGACACAATGTTACCTTTTATAATTGATCAACTCTTATGTTAGAAGTATATAATAGAAGCAGAAATCTGAGAATTTTAACAATTAAAATAAAAGGCGTGGTTTTGGAGATGGATGGAATTGTGGTATTTGAGAGAAACGTTACAATATGGTATCTGCACTACCTGCAAATCCATTATTTATATTTTTTATTATATTAATGTTTAAAAAAGTACGTATTATATATGGTGATGCGTACGAGGTTATAATATACCTATAGTAATAATACTACACGACTACCTACCCAGCATCATTATGTCCGTTTGTGTGCATACGTCATGAATCATTTAATTATATATCATTGAACAAGACTCTGTATTTTAAAAAACTAAAAGTTAAAATCCATCTCCTGCTGTTGTGATTACAGCAATTAAAAATTAAAATATGCAATATTATAATATTATTATTTTGTACCAAAAACCTACATAATATATTAATATGATAATAGTTAATATATATACATAATTATAATATAATAAATTATTATTGTGTATAACATATTATAACGTCGTATATATCATTGCGTCGAGAATCGCAACGGTATTATATAGTGTACGCGTATCTGAACAATTTATTATTTATTAGAAAGCTCGTGTATTGTGTATATATATATATTACTGCGATTCGAGCTTAAAAATGTTAATAATAGTAATGACTTGTTACGATGTTATAAAATACATTTTCCGTTTTAAACTAAAACTATTAGTTAGGGACCTATCTATTATTACAATYCTAAAGTAATGTAATTTTAATGTAATACTCATKGAATTTTTAACTCATAATCTTTTTTTTTTTTTAATTTTTTGAAAAGAGTGATATCTTTACAGCAGAAGCACCCCTTCCACACACCCACCCACCTAATTGATTTTATTGCGTATTTTCAATTTATTCAGCGATCGACGAGACACGTTTATGATACCACWCGCGTTCCGAACCCGTTTTTTAGCCTGTGGAAAGAAAGAAAACAATAAATCGTGACAATCAGTYGGGTGGGCGGGATAGTGGAGTTTCGCGCAAACGATTGTTATAAAAGTTTATAAATACKATTCAAGGGGTTGAGATTCGCGACCGCGTTTCGCCGKGCGTTATATCTATACACACGATTTGTTGTATACATAATGTATCGTTTTCCGATTTTATAATCGTCCGCACGGTTGTGACTCTCCGACCGAGCTTAGGGTAGGTAATAATTATGTGTAGGTAGTTATTAACGATTATAAATCGTAGATTAGATTTTAAACACGCATATCGTGGCAAAAAAAATCAGAGTTATATGGTGTATTATTTTTATACATATAGGTACYCGATAAGTATAATTTATAATATACGTCGATCGAAAATAGATCACTGCAAATGCATCGGGAAATTCGACCAGCAGTTTAYGTGAAATTCGCGTCATTACAGTAAAACACAGTTTGCATCATTATTTTGGTAATTCCGTGAATAAAATCGCTATGACTGTAATAATAATATTAAATACATATATTATTATGTTCCTGATTAATCGTTGATCTGATGATGATACTTAGTGTTGATTGTAGTTAGTAGGATTTTAAAATTTTTCAATTYATTCAAATTATTCAAACACAATTTACTTTTTAAAGCTTCGTCTAAATTTCGTTCTTTTACACTACCTATATTTTAATATACCTATTATACCAGCTACTAACATGTTATTAATTATTTTGGACTTTGATACATATCATAATTAGTAYGTGTCGGTAATACATTTCAGACTTATACAAATTGATGACATTTAATTTCGTTCTGATTAAAATGTCAATGATTAGATACCTAAAATATCAGTTAAAATATTAAATAATCAATAATAATTAAAAACTATACTAGTTAAGGGTCGCATGCATTGATTGTACCTATAATAACATACTATACTATAGKCAGTTCACACATTGGATACACATTTGCATACAATAACACAGTACATATATACCATTATTATTATTATCCTTATAGTATTTATATCAACCACCCCTACTAGCCATATCGTTGTTTTTATCAACTTCAGTGCTGCAGCTCATTTAGAACATTTAACGTAATAATATTGTGTACTATAATGTGTATAATGTATATGTGTATATTGCATACATATTATAATATATTAATATACGTACATTATTATGTTACAGTCTTATACGGTGCACTATACAATATTATGAAGCCTTGCAGCGAGAAAGCCGTTCAATGTACGGTTCGCGCGTGATGGAGGAGGGAGAGGGGAGTACGCCTGTGAAACGAGACTTTGCGGCGACACTATATAATAATATTATATCAGGTGCAGTCTAAATGCGGTTTAAATCGCCAACACTGTGGGAAATAAAAAACAATAATAATACATATTGTAATCAACGGTTCTAGGCTTTATCTCGTCGCAGAGAGTGGTATAAAAAAAAAATTGCAATTTTGTTAATTAACTCCCGGCCGTATACTATAGCATGTGTAGGTACGTACGCATAATATACGACTGCAATAAGCCGACTCACGGAGCTGTGACAAAATATACAGAAATATAGTTGCGGGATCGAGTCGTTATGTATACACATTAATATTATATTATTTACTATTTCGCTCGGTAGTAAAAAATAATCTCATATGTACGTTCTCGATTAACTAGTATTGTGATGCGTGTGAGCATTTTAGCGATATTTATAAAAGCACGGGACCGACGAGGCGGTAGGTTTTTTAACGACCGTTCGGCGGCGGTGGCGGCGACACGCRTTTCCCATCAACGGTGTGCGTCGCTGTAATACTATAATATTTTCGCRTTTTCGTAAATCATAGATCCTAACAATTTTTCGTGCTATACCTAATACCTGTATGAAYATAATATTATAATGAAATATCTTAACAGTTGTAACACGTATCCAAATCTGATATAGTTTTAAGTTTTGTGTAGGGTTATCAATAAATAATAACGCACACCGTGCACCTTTATCTAAAATTACCTTATCGTTTAAGACCGTCGCGAATCGAAAATCACAAAATCTTAAAAATAAAACTTTCAGGATTATCCACAGATTTTATATGCCACACATTACGTTTGTTCAGATAAGATATGATTTTAATCTAAGAAGTTATATTTCTAAAGACGTATCATTTGGAAATATCCGTAACAACATTTTATTTTAGTCTAAATACTAGCTCATGTCTCTTCTTGATTTCGCACAATAGTTAATAAATTATGTGATTTAAGTTTATAAAGGCGCAATAAATAATTTACCAAAAATATATTCACTGACTTTCGTTGATCGWAAAAATCTGAGGACATGTTAATTGTTTGTCATTGCAATATAATATCAATAAATTTTACATTATTTAGAATTTAGGAATATTTTTAATAAAAAAGCTTTGATTGGATATTTATTATAAAACTTTTGAATGTACCTAAGTTTGTTCCGATTGATTAAAACTGATATTTTATTTTTGTCTTATAGAGTTAGGTATGTAATATATAATAGGTACCTATACATTTTTTAATTAAGTTAATATAGTACAAAAATATTGAATAAGTACGTTGTCACGATGATGTAGGTTGGTGCCTATCTAATAACAATAAATATTTTATATTGAATTGTATCWAACGGAAGTATGCATAGTTTTGAATAATGATGGACATTTTATCAATAATATAGTGTCGACGCGGTTACTTTTATATTATTATAATAGATATCCGCACGTTTGTAAATTTCTAAGAATTTTTGGGAACAAATAAAATAACGAGTGCAAATGGTTTTCGGATATTATATTATTGTAGTGTCCATTTAGAAAGAAAAGGAAAACGCGTACAATATAATTTTATATTGTTATAGTAAGTTGTAGGTACAACAATATAACACCAATACAAATAATAATAATAATAATAATAATAATAAGAAAGTAATTGATTCAGTTGGATATTTTTTGGTCATAAATTACAAGATATTTTCAGTCTGTGAAACTGTGGCATATTATTCCCGGGTACTTATTGAGAGATCTGGYGTCTGATATACAACAATGGTCAATATGGGTAGGTACAAACCCTGCAATATAATAGTGGCCATATATTATACAGCGTGTCCGTGTGAATTTGTGTACAATAATACTTATTGTTATAAAATGACATTATACGGTACACACCATTTTGTAGTTTTGAACACGTTCAAATAAAATAAACATATACGGATTGGTGTGGAGGGCGTTTATATATACTTTTATTATAGCAGTATATATATAATGTGTATACTGTACTGCAGTATAAATGTTTGTCGATGGTGAAATCTCTGTCGATTCGGATTCTACGAAAATGTTAAGAATACATTGGTATAATTTAAGAGGAGTCGCATTGATACCACCCTCTATTTCTTTTGTGTCGGTGTTGTACAATATTGCACAGGCTATCCACCCAGTGGATAATATCTCACCATTTTGTATTACACTACAAAAATCACCACACCTCTTTACTTTCTACAAAGTTCAACCCGGATATCTGTCGATAACAAATAATTAACAATCATTGTCAGCATAGGAGTAGTATTGCTCACACACAGCCACCTCTGATATTTGCCTATTTCGTTTATATAAGAACAAAAAGTTATAAACAATCACTACTCACTAGAATATTATAATTTTCTCCTTCATAAGTTTTCGAGTTACTACTAATATTGCAGAAAATATAATTTAGGAATTCACGAACGTAAAAAAATTATTAAAACTAACGATTCATGATCATACCTATAGTACTATGCTATACACCGTATAATTTTTACATACAGTATTTGACCTTTTAATATATTATTATTTAAATGAGAAAATTATTATTCCTATTTTTATAAAGTCGTTTTAATTGATCGCAACGTGGCTAAAAACAAAGAAGGCGCATCCGTGACATCTGTGATGTGATAATTGTACGATTATTAACACCGCATTAATAATATTTGTAGCCTTATACCTACATAGTACAAATGAAAAACAAAAAAATGAACAAGTCGTCCTATTATTACGCGGCGGACGATTGTTTTTAATTAGCGTGTGAGATTCGTACAGTCCTCGGTACAGCGATCTATTTATGGATGGATTACGCATAGTATCGTAATAATTATTGTCGTCAAAAACACATGACCCAATAAAGCAGGTTTAATAAAATGTATTACGCGCTCAATGTTTATATAAGTAAGTATACCTACAAAAACGAAATATTTGCAAACAAAATCGGATAGAGTGATTAAGTGAAGGGCGTGCAATATTAACCATGTTTATAGAACATAATTCCACCTAAAAAAATGAAAAGAGAATAATGAATCGGTTTTGATTTGGAACATTTCAATTTTGTTTCTAATTTAATATCATCATTAACAAACAATAACAAATATCATAAAACCATACCTATCAAGAAAAATATGTTATAATTGAATAAATTCTACAAMATAATACTGAATTTTTAGGTGGAGTCTAAATAAAATAAATACTGTCTATAATAATACATGCAGTTGCGAAAGATGATGCCACCCATCTTACCCTTAAATAAATAACCGAGATAAGTATAAAACTATATATTATTGTATTATGAATTATGATCTAAACGTTATATGTTAGCAGTAGGTATTTGAAGTTTTGTAGAATTGTATATCTCATTCGAAAAATATATCTCACCATATTATGCATTATGAGCATTACTTTAAATGTAGGTACCTCTTTTATGACATTATACCAATATAATTTTTATAATTATTCTGTGGTATAAAACATAAAACGAACGCAGATAAAAAATGTTCAAGCATAATGCTTAAAAAAAGTGTTGTGATTTTCAAAGAATTAGAGCTTAAGACAGGGCGTATTAAAACAATATATTTATATCACTATACGTTAAAATATCACGGCGGCAGTTTCCTCCCCTCTCTTCACCCCGGGGCCACAGATTACGTCTATGATGAAACTTTTATGCTATCCTGTAATTATTATATAAATGATGCATTTTCTATCTGGACAGAAAGCTACTCATACACATAAACATCGAAGTACAATTAATTTCGGCAGTGAGATAAATATAAGTAACRCATAAAGCAATAATAGCCTAAATCGTCGATTGACAAGTAAAAACAGTATCTAAATACGTTTCCGAAGTCTACGATATTGGGCAGTAAACGTTTAGTGCCATTTCACGCAAGCAGAAAGGAAAAAAAGAATGTCAAATTTGTATACAACATATTAATACAAATTATAAAATGGAAAAAAGTAATTCGAAGTGCGTTAAAAAATTGCTTATGTGACATACGTAAAAATGTGATATTSTATATTATATATGTTTATGATACGACTTTGTTTAATATATGTATAGGTACCTGAAAAGATCTTTCTACTCCCATTMCGTTATCTGTTGAAGTTTCCGTGGCTACGGGCGACTTTTCCTGCTCGCACAAACTTCCTGGCGACCAAATTTCTTGACTACGTTTTTTGATGCACAAGTTCAACGGCGTTTCAGAAATTTCATCTGAAATATTAAAAGTTGGATTTCTTAACAATAGGTATTATACATTTTGCTAATAAGTATAATATTTAAACTTATTATGTGATCAGACAAATTCGTCGGCCGTTAGGCGGTGCACTCATCCGATTTATCGTCGACTACATTTTAATTTCAAAGAGGTGGCTGGCAAAAATGTTTGCTCGACACGCCACATAATTGACCGCGTTTTGGTTGCACCATACTATACGCAGTAATTACTAATTATAATTGCTTACCATGCATATAAAAAAATAAACGACGGCAATGATGCGATGACGACGATAATATAATAAAGTAACAGTTTTATTTTCTGTACTTGACGGAAAAGAGCGATAAATATAATATTATCATATCGTGCCATACATTATATGATGCGACAAGGGTCGTTGTCGCATAAATTATGTAAATAGAATATAGTCGGTATAAAAGTTAAATAAAATATAATATGATTATTGACGATAGCCATCTCGTCGACTGCGGTAGGTAGGTAGGTACCCTGCGTAATGGATATAACTAATATATATATATATACAGTGTAATAGTATATAGTTTATCTAGTACCATAACCGCATCTAAGCTTAATACGAAGGTACTTAATATACTGTATAATACCTACATAAAAATATAAAAAATCAAAAGTAATTATATTCCTAAATGAAACGGTTCTTCGGGGTTGAATATTTGAAGACAAAGTCGTATAGTGTAATATTTAGTATTAACATTAAACGACAGCTAATATAATATTACAACTGGTCGTGTAATAGTATATTATATGAGAAAATACAAACAGCCGATGATAGCAGCTATCATATTCTAGAGAAATCTTGCTTGTTGTACATACACATTTAGAATGTTTAAAAAAAAAATTATGAAAAATCGCTATAACTATATATTTTTATTCTCACAACGATTCTATAATAAGATTTGAGCGATTCACTTGAACATATTATTTTAAACGATTTTCTGTAGAGCTGGGGAAGTATGGTACTATAGATAAAGGCCCAATCATTCACACCCCTCTTCTCTAAACAGAAATTACGCCAATTCTAAGATTCGAAAATCGTTTTATGAGACAAACGAAAATTCTTGAAATGGATTTATGTGGTCTTTATATCGACACTACAATATAATTCGGAACAAATCCCTAAATATAATATTCTTATATGTATATAAACTATTTTTACAAGTGTGATTGTAAAATCAAATTCATTACATTAAACCGGTAGTCATTAAAAATAATATAGATAATTAACTTTTTTGCGATGGATTGTAAATTATATTAGGTATAACGTTATAGAAAAATAGGGTTTTAATAATTTTTTTATATTAGTTTTGTTTATCAATATTTTCCGTCAATTCTAACTGTTTTCTGAATTCACATATAACCACACAAAAGTGATAGGCAGTCATTGTTTTCCTATTATTTCTAAGTAGGTAATAAGAGGTAATTTATAAAGCTATATTCACATTTTTTGATGTTAATTTATAATATAAAATGATATAATATATTGATATGATATGATATAATAGATATATTGCAACATATATTTTACAATGCGTTATAAAATGAAATGAATCAAAAAAAAACTTGAAATTTTAGATGTTTCTATTGGTTTTTCGTTTAAGATATTTTTATGTCATCATTATTACGTTATTTAGGGTTAGAAAACAATATAGAATTACATATGGATAGGACGGACTTATGCCGAGATACGCGGGGGTGCGTCGAGACATAATCGCCGTCGTACAATATTTTTGTTTGTAATCAATGACAATACTCGACATAACCAGTTCGATCACATTATAACACAGTATCCGTTCAAACTAAAGTTCAAACGGGTCTTTTAATATTTAAGCAAATATGATGATTAAAAATGTTGTCTGGAAATAATATTATCACCCATAACAATGAAATAACAACTTGACTACTTTATTTGTAACGAGTTAGTATATTAACGGTAGTTATTAATTATAATAATATTGAACTGTATTTGTGGGCGATAARCACCCCGGTTCATAATAAAACATTATTAAGAGGTTGCCAGCGGAATATTTATTTTCTCTCTCTCAGACCCTACAAGCGTGTTATGTAGATAAACACATTCATATATAAGACCGTTATTTACGATTTTTGCGTAATCTTAGAGTAAAATCACCTATAACAAAAATGATGGAAGATAAAATTTTTGAGAGTATATCTATCGGTTATAGATTTTATTAAAAAAATCTAAAAAATGTAAACTGTTTTGTTAAAATAAGTGCACTGACATCTTGTTAATATACAACATTCGAACCATTATACGAAGGGGAGACATTAAAATATTATAAACAATTTTATCATATCATATTATGTATAAAGCCAAACGGGTGCAGGCTGTATATAAGACAGCTGCAGCAGGATCTCCTGCAAAAGACACTTACCTAACCTAGCCATCTCGGGCGTCTGGCCGGCTGCGTCCAGGCTGGCCCTGTCYGGCGAGATCTGCTGACGGAACCGTTCGTTTTGCTGCAGATTTATGTAATTGAGCTGCAACTGGACCTGGCGCTGGTACTCGATACTGGCGTTGGAGAGGTAGAACGGATGACTGGGCGTGTGCATCGGCGGATACGATGGCCCGAACGGCCAGACCAACGGAAATATCTGATCATTGACAACTCTGTACGGGCGCACCATCATGTGGCTGGGATTGATCATCGTGGGATACGGCACCTCGGTGAAGGACATATCCATGGCCGCGGCGGCCGAGCGAACTGGACAGAACGCGCTGTTCCAGTTCGACCAACGGACGCTGGTGCCGGCTGTCGGTGACATCGAAAAGCCTTGTGGTGACGGAGTGCTGCCGCCCGACGAAAATGTCTGAAGTTTCATGGCTGTCCTGTACAGCTTTTGACAGAGGATCCAAGTATAATATTATCACGACAGGCGATGTCGCGTTATTGCAACTTGTGTTTGCGCTGACGTCTGGAATGCAATTTCAGTTAATCGGCAACGATCGTCTGAAACAAAACGGAAATGGTGAGACCTTGGTAATAATTACTGTAGTATATAATATTATGTACCTATGTTTTCGTGATGTATATTGTATGCGTTTAATCGGGGGAAGCGGACTCGCTGGGATCACTTTGTGTCGGCTAAGTTTATTTTTCTTTAATGGAGGCAACACAGGGGAATTCGACCTACGTATAATCGTAGAAATATCGTAAATACCCTTTCAATTGTAGCAGTATACAAATTAAGATGTTCAGGTTTCTATGTATTCAAATATAGTTATGCAAACTGTTTTAAARTTTCTCTAGCAATTATAATTTCTTGGTTATCTATCGKACTTGCAAAGCGGACCTTCCTAACTTGTTTTTTATATACACCTTCGTATTTTAATATTATTTGTATAGAATTAATTCAATTATTAGATATAATTTTGACTTGTCAAAATATTAAAAATATAAATCTTTTTAGGTAATCATATTATTATTTTCCAATTTATATAAATGACAGACGGTGCTTTTTATTTATTTATTTTTTAAATTAAATCTTTATAAACTATAGAATTATTTTGTTATTTTTACAGCTATTCCAATTATCAATCTGCCATTCTGYAATAATTTTAAAATATATATTTACAATGTCCAAATATTTGTACACCTATATTATCCATACATCATACAATATAGGTTATTACAACTTACAATAATGCTACATAAATTATTTGAAAGGCCGTCACGGGATCAGTACGATGATACATATATATATATAGTTATATCATTAAATTAAACGTAAAGAATATCGTGAAGAAAAACTTAGCCCAATTATACTACAATCGATATGTCTTATGCTATTTCAATTTTATACGGAGAATTATCCAATGCACGATTATAATGAATAATTATTAATTATTATACTACTATATAGGTAGGTACATACTATACTATGATATGTGAATGTCGAACGAAAATTATCTAAACATAGAAAATATGCATTATATTATAATTATTCATTTGCCTATATAGCTATATATATACACTGCACTATATACTGAGGTGTATAGCGTGTGTTCGAAGTATGACCATGTGCATATTATTGAGTGTGTGTGTGTGTGTGTGGGTGTGTTTGAGTGCACGTTATATCACATATATTTATTATACATTCATACATATATAATGTATACGAGCATAACAATATATAAGCTAGCACCAACTCTTCAAATATTAACTAATTGCCTTGTGGCGTGACATCGCCGCGCAATCCTATATGAAGTCATTTACCAATGGGTTTCATCGATTTTTTAATTATTACATCGCAGCGGATCATTTGCCTGAATTATTTACGCAGGCCACAAGGCCTAATAAAGGAAAAAAATTTATTTATTTATTTATTTGTATTATTCAATATGTTGCAAAAAAGAACAATAAAAACAACTAATTACTAAGGAAGTAACAAAAACAATATAAATACGTAAAATAGAGGTATTTTTTAGAAAATATTTTTTCAAAATTTAATTTATACAATACGGGTGAAGTTTAATTTTATATGGAGATTGCGCCTTTAACGCGGGCCACTCAARTCAAGGTACGAAAAACATTATTATTATTGCATATTTATGCATCCAGTTTAATTCGATCAAAGCTAAGGAAAATAGAGGAAATATGGGTTTACCCATGTAATATCTATCTATCAATCGGTTTTTTAAAATTATAAATCGACGAAAAAGGAGACATTATTTAACAATTATTTAGGTATACTGGAAAATACACAATATGCGTTGATACATTAATACTAATATATATACAATGAACGATAACAATATACTATGTCTATGCGACTCGATCTAACTGTCCAGAGGTAATGTATATATATTCAGGTTAGAGAGTCAATTGTGCACAGTTATGGGCAATATTATAGTATTAGATCGAATGGTACCTAAACAATAATAATTGAGCTGCTGGTTTTTGTACTGCACGATTATTTTTATGATACACAGAAAATAAAATTCTTGAATAATATAATATTATTGTGACACAAAAGTCGTTGAATAGAAACCTTATTATTCAAGGTTATTTTTTCACCAATAATAATGTAGGATCTTTATATTAAATATACATTCTAAGGAAATCGATATAGAACATGAAAACTGCTCGTTATGGACTTTTATATTAATTCAAAATAATAATAATACTTTTATATTATAATATATTATACAATGAAACTGTACAGGAAATGCAATATAATAAACCTGCCATTTTTAAATTCAAAACAAAATATGCTATTTAAAAGAAACGATCTTATATAATATGTGTCAACGGGGCTGTGGTAAGTTACATTGGTACCACTCTATTATAAATAAGTATCACTAAATAAGCTTCTATATATTATTAATACATCCTAACGACTGGGTGAATTTTCTTTTCTTTTTCTTTTATATACTATTATAAGGTACCTACCTACATCAACGTCTTTAAATATCCCTATTATGCGCATTATATTGTTATATGTAGGTACCTCACCTACTATGGATATCTAGATATTGGTTAAGAATTCTGTCTTCATATTGAACTGGAATAGGATCGTACGTGAAAAATATACCTGTTTTCTCTATAGAGTTCTCTCTCTATTGTGTTTTTTTTTTTTACCTTTGGGGTACCAGCATGCATAGGTCTTTTGTTATTGGGTATTTGTGACTGGAATTTTTCGTTTTCAGCAAAAAAAAAGAAATATTCACATATAGGTACTTATATATACAAGTATCAGTAGATTAAGGATATGAAATGCAACTCTGCACAGAATTTAASAATTTATAGACACCTATTGTGATCATCTATCTACAGAGATAGTAAGCAAAATACATTTTTTCTATACCTAAATGTTTTCATACTCTCTCGTTGCCGTCGCGTTTAAGTCAGCAGGTACTACCTTTATACCGTAAATATACACAAAGAAGTGGTCATTTTAAACATTGTTCCTTTGCGTCACTAGGTACCTAACCTCATTATTTTTCATACAATACTCTACGTCTACATGCTACCTAACCTCAACGTTTTTCAAATAATATTCTACACTACCTAACCTCGATATTTTTCAAATAATACTCTACATTTTTGAAGCACTTAGAGTATAGTAAGTTGATGCTTATTATACCACGTCTGTGGTATAGAAAATAACGATAAATCAAAACTGTCACCCAGGAATACATATATGTAGGTATAATATCGCCACGTGTATAGGTACATAGGTATATATTGAGTAGCATATAGGTACACCGTTAATTGTATATAATATCGGTAATGAATAAATCATTTATCGTGAAATAAGAGTTTTATAAATACTTTTAAATCAGAAATGTATGTGATACGATTGTCAAAATAATTAAAACACGTTTAATTCTAATATAAATTATTCAACCTATAAAATCTATTTCGAATATTTACAAGAGACATAGCAAATATTAGTACCCTACAACAATATAGTATAATAGTGTGTCATACGACGTGCAACGCTGAAATACTTGAAAGCACATAATTGAGAGTAACGAGAGCAATTAAATGTTTAAATCGTAATATGGGTCGGCGCGTCAATGTATGACGATAATGTGCAGATAAAATTTGGTTTATAGTTTCAATTGAAAAATTACGATTCCGTCCCGATCAATCTTATCCAATAAATCCGCGTAAAATATAATAGATCATTATCATAATAATAACAATAAAGATTAATAAAGATATTATACGAGTATAATATTGTTACACAAGTCTTTCAATAGCCCGTCGTTATCGCGGGTCCCATCCCGCGACCTGCTACGATTTCCGGTCGAAATCATCAGAACAACAGGTATAACGTATATTTGTATACCTACAATAAAATATAAATATTTGTATATCGACTCACCTGTGATCGCTGCAGACGAGAAATAATCTTGACCTGGGCCGATGCGGTGTAAAATCGGTTGTCCTGAGATTACGGATATATGTTGATCAGCGGCGGCGGCGGTGGTGGCAAACAGACGGCAACGACGAAAGCATTAACGCGTGGTTCACAGACGACTGACTGTGGCTCTGGCGCGTGGTGACCCCCTTGCCAGAGAGCGGCCCGGCGCGACGGCGGCGCCGCCCACGGGACCTGTGATTGGAGAACGACGGTGGYGCTGTGGAGGGGTCTGCGCGCGCGGTACACGCCGCCGATATTCGGCTGAAGATTTTACGGCGCCGCCCGAGGAGGAAGAAATGTTGCTGATGGTCCCACTACGATATTTTTTACTACAGCAGCGTAAAATAAAAATACATTTAGGTTACTATTCGATATGATGAGATTATGATATTTAAATATTTTATTATTTTATGACATTGTTATCATAGATATTATAATACTGGATAGGACCATCGGGCTTATCAACTGAGAATAAAGTGATAAAAATGTTGAGGTTATAAGAGTTCCTTTATAATCGATAAGTGTTAATATACAATAAAAAAAAAAAAAAATCAACAACAAATAATAAAATCATGAAAAATAAATTCATAACTATGAAATTATGAAAATATGAAATAACAATTTAATTATTTTAATTACAACTACAATTTATCAAAGATAACATTATGATTTTAAATTATACATTTTTGTAACCTAACCTCAAAAAAGGCAATTATTATRTTCTATCTCTCTCGTAGATATTGAATTATCTCTCTTCCTTGAAAAAAGACCRCAGACTTTTACGAAGCCACTACAGTCATATCCTATCAATTCGTATAATATCTATATGATTTTGATTGGTATTATATTATAGAAATATTKTAATTCTTGTTCGATCTTTTTACAGGCGCGATTCAGATGGATTTAAAAGGGAAGGGGGTGGTCGACACTAAATGTGTAGGTTAGCTCTCTCAAAACGTCCTATGCTGTTTGTTGACTAATTAAAAAAATACAAAACTTCGGTCCTCCTAATTTTGTCGTTGAAATCGCACCGCTGAATACGATAACAGCGATGTACAGTAATAGTATTAATTTAGTATATTATATTGCAGTAGCGCAACGACAGCGGGCACTATTAGTATATTATTATTTACTATTATTATTATTATTATTATGCAAAGTTATCACACATCAGTGTTTTTTTTTTGGGAGGGCCGTTATCTGCGGAATGCTTTGATGGTGGTGACTTTCGACCTTTCGAGGGCCATATTTTTCCCCATGCACCGCCGCACGCACATCGGCTGGTAAATTATTCCATGTATATAGGCTAGTAATGAAATCTTTGGACAAATAATGTACCGTCATATAGTAACGTTGTCATCACGCATATGGGTATACCTGTTTATTTATAACAGAATGATAAATTAAACAGCACGCATTAATTAGGATTTTGAACAATGTTCCGAACAGAAGACGGCCACTGAGTGGAATAAAAGAATGGACTTAGAACAGAGAGCACTGCAGCTATACCTGCTCATCTTCGTTTATTTTTGTGTACCATTAAAAAATTGGCCAAATCGACATTTTTGGAACACCTGCACGCCTGTACTCATAAAAATCCTTAAACTATATATACCTTAAGCAATACCTATTAGACAGCGGTTCTCAAACTATGTACCGCGTGTAGTTTCTAAGGACACTGCGGTCTACGACTTATATAATGAATAATTTAAAGTGCTAAGAACTTTTTTCAAAAATTCGTTATAAATGAGTATTTTTTTGTCCCGACTTCCATGTTATTCACAGCAAGACATCGTGGCTATATTTGGTTCAAAAAATGGCATTGAGGGGAAAAAAGTTTGGGAAARTTTGCCCTAAGATATAAGTAGAATTATCGACTATGACTGGACAGAAAGGTGTGAAATTAAATTTAACTTAATTTTTCCAATGGTTATCACACTCGACTTCCATATACGATTCATATGCACTTAATAGACAATAAAATATTGAAATATTAAATGATCATTTAAATGTATGTATATAAACTATGATTATAATATAAAGTATATTGGAAATGATATCTTTCCTTGATTTAGGAACCAATGAATTTCCAAATAATTGTTGTCGTATTTTCGACTTAGTTGGTTTTTATTGACAAGTAAACTGGATTTCAGTTCTTGAAACGCCAACACATATTATAATCTAATATAACACATAGGTATATGGGAATTGAATGCTTAAATAATTGAATACACAGGAAGATCGAAAAAAACTTACAGACTACAGTTAATAAAGGCGTAAATTAGGTGCAGCTGTCTGCATAAAATGGACACCATTATAYACCTTTTCAATACAAATGTCTTTTTGTAATCCGCACAATTGTCATCTACCGAGCTGAGGAGTTTTCAATAAAATTGCTTTAGATGTCAACTCTTTGTACTCAATTTGATCTATATCTACTCAGAAAATAATATAGTTAGTTTTMGTTTCCGTTCGGTATAATATATGGACAAAATATATTTTCCKGTGTACCTACACTTATTGTTGCCTTTTCGTAATTATGAAGGTTAATATATATTATATTTACATACTATAGTTTGCTCCGATGATCTGCAGGTATTTTATATATGACKCCTATATAATACTAAGTATAGACAGTTAAGTATTAGATCATAAACCTTAAAAGAATATATTCTATGTGAATAGATTAATATTCATGAATAGATATACATAATATTATAGTGTGCTATAATTATTACAAGTTAATTTTACAGTATGTGCTATATTATATTTTATATAATATAAATAAAAGTAATATTAGGTACATAATAATGATAAAAATTAGTCTTTTATTTCTATATTATTATTTATTACAGTATACGTGTATTAATTGCCGATTTGATTATAAGTCTAGGAGGAATTTCATACTATATATTATAATTATTATCAAACACATTTTTTTACATAATTATAATTAAACAATACAATTAAAATTCTTTGGTCTCAATTATATTAAAATATCTTATTTATATTTATAAAAAATTTAAAATTATAATATATAATTAGACGATAAAAAACGTTTGGTGATATAATTAAAATTATAAATATATATATTTATTATTTATAAAACAATCTTATACTAAAATTATAATTAAATTTAATAAATAATTTAATACAAAAATTGTGTATTGTTTAGGAACTAGGTAGTATCGTAGTAACGTTATTTACTACCTGCTCGTCGGGTCATATATAGACCTGACCTTTTCATTTACGAAAACAATTCAAGGTACATTGGGATAAAATGGGTGTAAAAATTATCAATCTTTTTGAATTCGGGAGACACGTAATAAACAATACATATGTATGTAATAGGACAGTTACGCAAATACAGTTCTATTCTAAGACTTAAGTACAGATACAGTAGATTTAATACGTACACATCATATTATATAATAATATATTAGAGTTGAATTTGTTTTTTGACCCAACACCTAATTCTTGCCCTATACCTGTCCTACATTTACCTTCTAAAGTATACTTGTTACAAGTATATATCGTAGGCCACATTAAAAGATTTATACAATCATAGGTTGACGTGAGAGGGGATTGAGTGAGAAGGCGATTGCACACGGGGCCTTATTGGATTGTAAGCAATTGAATTTCACGTAATACAAATCCCTCATAAATACATTACTGATATGTTATACCAATATAAATWTTTTCAAGTGTATATCTCCACTCGCTTTAAACAACTTCCAAAGCCACAACTGACTTGAATACGCTATAGGTACCTATTTAAAATCTTTAATACTGATAGGTTTATTATAATCAGAGTAGCCTCGGTATAGAATAGGTATAGGTAGTATATAAATACAATATAACTCTTTATTAGAATGGCGATAACGAGACATATAATAATTAAATTGCTATTTCCCGATAAAAGGATAATATTATAAATTAATATAATATATAGGTTGTATTCATATGGGCGAAACATCGGTGACATCTCAGAAATTGGGTAGAATTTTTCGTCAGRCCGTTCATAATCAAGGCTTGTTTTATACATAATATATTACGCATAGAAGTTAGTAAATACCTATGACACATGAACAACGATAAAAAAATGGTTAGTCGCTGTATTTACCAAAATTCGTGGGTGAAATTAGATATTATAGTGATAGGATTTTGCCAATCATTGGTCAACCACTGACAGTGGAATTTATCATATTGTACTTGAGTGTTTGATTATTTGTGTATGTATATATATATAATATATATATATATATGTATATAATTAACGATTTTTAAAATAATATCTACGAAGGCTATAATCTGTTATTTAAAATATATATTTATGTTACGGGGGAAGAATTCGCCGACCATATTTATTACGGTACCCTCGACGTTTTTTTCCACGTCTCAACCGTCCGATTTTTATTGTGTGTGTG